AGTGAAACTTACCGCTTTGTCGGTGCATTCTACTGGCATGAATTCGCCATCCCTTCAAGGTCCCAAATTCCTTTGGGCACATACCGCACCCTGAAAATATGAAAAGCGTTTCCAAATGCATTCATATCATTCATATAAAACATTTTTAACACAATAATGAAATAAATTAAAATTTACCAATTGTGGTCGACCCGTCAGCACTTCGAGTGATCGTGTACGGGTCGATTTCCGGCGCGATCAGCAGCCGTCGGTATTTCGCCGGTAAACCTTCCACTACCGGCGTGTGGAAGGGTTCCGCATTTGCTGATACTGCGCCACGTTCTTCCTCTTCTTCTACAACTGGCACCCGTATCGTTCGGGAACGCCTGAAATATATCCATTCAGGTATTTTTTTAAACTAGTCATTATGAGATTAATTTCTTATCTAATATTCACTTATTAAGCATACTACAAAAATCTGTTCATTGTCTAACTACACTGTGCAATGATTCAGAAATTCGGACTACGTAGGGCGATAAATTAATATTACATTTCGAATTAAGCTATCTGAATTTTTTAATATACTTTCAAGGTAAAAATGAAACTTACAGTACTATTTCACGAGTTCGTATCATTTTCCTGCGTCGCCGGACCATTGTAGGCGCTCTCGGTATCACTTCTTCGTTGAGGGGCGCTTCTTGTGATACCTGACGCCACTCCACCAACTCTTCCGCCTCCTCATCGTGAACCAGTGCCGGTACTGGTTCAATCACTTCTTGCTCTTCATATAGCTGCTGTTGGAGGCGGTGGAGCACGAGCCTCTCCTGATTTTCATGCTCGCCCTCCATTTCGGGCTCGTGCTCCAGGAGCTCATGGGAAATTTCCAACTGCTCCCGAGTTGGCGGAGGACTTGCGCTTGGAACCTGGATCGCTTCATCCTTATGAGCTTCATGCTCATTTCTTTCCAACCTCGCCCGCAAATTATTAATCTAAAGAAAAAATCATACTAGTCAATACAACTAACAATGAGTTCAATAAATAAATTGAATATTCACCATAAGTAAGTTACAAACCAAAAATAAACATACCAAATTCGCCGCATTTCGTAAATAATCTTCCAACGCCTGGAAGTAGAGCGGCTCTTTGCGCAAATGATTTTTTAAATCTGCCAATGTTGGCAGATTTGGGCCTTGAACACTCTCATTCATATTTGCCATATTTGCTGAAAAACCATATACACATATATAGCTAACGGATCGAATCATTATAAACATTATAAACATTCAGCTTATTACTATAGTTATGCTTATTTGATTAGTTAAAATGAAATACACCTAGGAATACAGAAATACCTAGGAATACAATAAAGGATTAATCAATAAAATTTATCCATTTATATCCTTTCAGTAATCATTCCTACCACATCATAACATTATTGCCCTTATAAAGTGAACACATGGTAAGATTGCTAGATTATCCCTACCGTCACCCATTTGTACGTGTATTATTACAAGATTGCTAGAACGTTCCAACCACCCAATAGATTACTTCACTTACATTATTATTAAGGAAAGAAAGGAAAAGAAAAAAAACGTAAGATGAATGCAACATATCTTTGAGCTCTATAATGGCTTATGAGTTCATAGTCAGAGATATATATATATACTGACAGATAAGGGAGATCATAGAAAAAAAAAGAAAAAAACAAATTCTCAACT